AAGGATGCCTACGGATGGCTGAGCTCAAACGTTAGGGGTTTGAACCCCCTCGTGCCCTCCATGAAGAAGTTGATGGACACGCTCGAGAAGCTGGAGTACACAATTCACTACTGTGAACAACATGGCAGCTCGAACGCAGAGTCTTTGGTCAACTGCGAGGACCGTCTGTTGAGGGCAGAGAGCCTGCTAACTGGTTTGATCGACCAGTTGGGAGACTTTGACAACAGAGCCATGGGACAGTTGGAGGGTGTCACGGCAGAGATGCCGGTGCTTCATGAAGTACGTGATCGCCTGCCCAAGCTGCCTCACCGTAAGCCGCCGAGTCAAGATAAGCAACCGGATGGTGCAGCCAGCAGCAGCAGCGGGTCGCTCCCACAGCCAATGGGACAACCACAGGCGATGGGCCCACAGGCGCCTGCACCTCAGGTGCCTCCGATCCAGATCATTACGCAGGCTCCTGAGACGGCACCACAACCGGGTAGCATCCAGCTGAAACTTTCTGAGCACGTAGGTGGGGCTTTGGCGCCAGTACAGAGGCAGCCTGCTCCCGCATTTTACGTCCCGAGTCAGCAGCAGAGCAGCGTGCTGGTCCAGGAGGCTACGAGCGAGGACCTTTTGCGCGCTTTGCTCAGGCGCTCGCCCTAGATGGGCAAAGCTCACTGACTGGATCAGGCGTGGGCCCTTGGTTTTCAGATGCTGGCTTTCTGCATGGGCTCTTCGTTTTATGATTCGGCCTCGGATGGCTTGATCCAGGATAGGGCTGGGAATCGCCATTTTTGAATGGCTGGATATGTAACATAATTGCTGCACTCAGCCTTAATTCGTAATACACTTTTGCAAGCCCACACTAATTTGTAATTCAACAATCGACTTTTCTCAGGGTTGAGCCCGTCTTGTGCATAACGTGTACATTTTGCTCGCCTTAATTTGTAATTACTGCACGCTGACATTTTAATTACTGCTTTTGCAACTGCATGCATGTATCCACTTTGGAGAAGTGGAAGGCTGATCATGGCGGCTGTCACTGACATGAACGATTTAGGCAAAAAGATCGCAGCTCGTTGTGCCGTACAGCAGGACCATTCACTGTAGGGAAGAGGACTGAAGTCAATGTTACACAATCCATGTCTTTTTCAGTCTTTGGTTCAAAGAAAGAAGGTGGAGGGATCTAGGCTGCCGGCATCACATGAAGCACGCTTACACTTTGCTCTCCCAACCGGATAGCACAGCAAGTCAATCTTGCAGAGCCACCAATCCTGTGCCTGTGACAGGAGTCTCTAGTGAGGTGACTTGTATCGATGACGTTGATGATGATGATTTTGATGACGTAGCTCAGACTGATGTGTTAGGCCTTGATTCATTGTCCATTCAACGTCTGTCGCTTGCACTAGGGGTTGACAAAAGGATGACTCCGGTTGAGACTTTAACCTACAGCATCCTTTGCAAACATCGACGAGGCCAGGACATTACCAAAACCCAAATGTTGGAAGTCTGGGATGCAATCCCTAGGCAAGTTCAGCAGCGTCACAACACAACAAATGATCGTACAGGCAAGCTGGTCCTCTTTGGAGCAAACCCTAGGGCGCATGGAACTTTCACAAAAGCTTCTCAGGACATGCCCCATACTCATGAACTCATGGTTGCTTTTGCCAAACAACTGTGTCCCTTACATGAGTTCTCCTGTTTCTCCTTTCGTCAAAACTGTACTACGTTGCCTCATCGAGATATCAGGAACGTAGGCAGCAGTCTTATTATCTCGCTGACTTCCCATGACGGGGGAGGGGGCATTTGGCTTGCTGACTCGACAGGGGATGCATATCAAGAGTTTGATGGGGTTCTGGTCCCGGGGAAGTTTCATGACATCTCCAGCCCTTTTATCTTCAGAGCGGGGACAGTTCTGCACTCTACCCAGCCTTGGAAGGAAGCTAGGAGAGTGGTTTTCGTTGCTTTTCGGACTTTGAGCGCAGTGCATACTGGTCGAGATCAAACGGTTCAAAGTCGGATTTCGGACTTCTTTGGAGTTGCTTCGGAGTGTAGCTAGGCAAATCAGATGCTTTAATTCGGAGCCCAAATAATTCACATGCCAATCTGCTGCTGCCAGACATGAATCCTTTTGCATCTAATTAGGAATTCCAGTTTGCATGGAATTTAGAGCATGCATTGCACTTCTAATTAGGGTTTCCCCTGCCAATTGCTGCTGCCCAGGTATCTGATTTAGTGAGGTTACGGGACCCCGACCACCCATAAAACAAATAAAAGGTGCCCGGTGCTGCTCCACCTGGAACAACTGCCTCACACTTGCTACCATGCACACCGTCCGACCACTGCTGGCTGGGTTGGTTGAATATATGTACTTTTTTCCCCCGATAAACATTTCTCTAGACGCCTCCCTTACTAATTTATTTGGGGTCCTCCCTTTCTTTCTTTCGGTGGTCATCTCTTCTAGGTTCTGGTTATGGCTTTAGTTTACTTCATGTAATCTACTTGTATAGTGATGCCTCGCTCGCGCTGTTGTGCCATGGAGTTTGCTCAACTGGTTGCTGGATCCAGGAGATGTCCTGCGCTGCCACTTCCGTTTGGAGAGATGCGGGAAAGCTGTTTTTTCTCTGACTGAGTGAACTGGCCTGTGCAGTGAGCTGATTCTGGCATTATGCACTAAACGTGTATTGCCTCGCTGGAAGTCTTCCATGTTCAACAACATCAGCGCGCGTTTGGACACTGACGTCGTTGGGCTTCCAGGGGCTAAATCCCAGAGCATGGCTGCGGTTCTTGGAGGGAGAAACGAACAAGCCGGGAAGGGAATGGAGCTGCTTCTACATGTCAAAACCGATGCTTATGGTTCTGGCGTTGCAGATCTTTCTGATTATGGTGTTGATGAGTCTGGATATGTGCCGACGGTCTCATGCAGTGACACCTGAAAAGCTTGCAAGGTTGGAAACTGAATGATGGTGAACCGAACACACACATGGGAGAAGACGACGTGAGGATGCAACTACAGTCCGGAATGAGTTGTGGAAGAGTGACTGGATAAAGCTGTGTAGTGACTTTTGAACTGAAGATCTGAGTGAATTAGGACGGCATTTTGCTGACTGCAAGAGATGCTCTGTCGAACTGATAGAGCGGGGGAATTCCTGAAACATGGGAGATCCTATATCTTCTGATCCTTCAACTTTCAATCCTCTGTCTTTCGAGTCTCATGTTCAACCTCGCCGTGAGTATAGATCTCATTCATGCGAGAGGGAAAAAAACCCTAAACCCTACAGAGTACCGGCGGTATGGAGATCTTGGCTATGCTTTTTTCTTTCGAAGGGCCTGGCCTGGGTCCGAAGCCTACAGTCTTCGAGTTCTACTAGAAGCTACCAATATATAAATGCAAATAAATAGATAAATATTCAAACATGTATATATATATATATCTACATGTGTATATATATATATATATGTCTTTATATACATAGATAGATATAATGTTACAATATAATAACAAAATAATCATAATAATACTAATAATAATCGAGTCTGTGGGGCTTTGGGGGAGTTCGGATGCCAGGTGAAGAGCTGGAAATGGTGGTTCTCCGCCTTCCTCCGCACACCGGACCGGAGAGCGGTTTCGAGGGCTTCGGACCATGAGGTTGCCCCAAGGGTCCAAAGGACCCAATAATCAGGTACTCAGGTTTCGGATAGTAGTTAAAGGTTTCTATTTGGGCGAGAATATGATTATTAGGTACTTGGACCCTTAGGGTTGTAGTGGGGAGTAGCTTAGGGTTTAGGGATGTTTAGGGGTTCAGGGTTTGAAGTTTGGTGGGGAGCGGAGGGGCTGTCATGTTCGGCAATCATTCTCTTTCAATCCGAACTCAACTGCTTCACGCCGGTTACCGGTTTGCAGGTCTAAATGCTGTTCTCAACGAGACTGTCTGACGGTTCGCATAGAAACAGGCCATGCGTAAGTTCTTGACCATTTGCTGTGGTTGCGCAGCTTTGGCGGTTTCCAGGCTGTTGGGCTTCCTCGAGTTTCTGGGCCCTAGGGCCCAAGCCAGTGTATGTAATGTGGTAAGTTCTGCTATGTTGGTCGAATGCATCCGCATGCATGGGTCCAGATGCACAAAGTTGAGCATGCATATTAGCATATTCACTGCTTGACGTTTGCGTGCATGCAAATATCGTTTCCTGGTTCCTGTCACTTGTATGTGCGCATGTATGTCATGTTGCATATATATATATACTATACATACATATGCATGTATACATGTATGTATGCGCGTGCGTACGTACATGTGTACGTATGTATGTATGTCTGTCTGTCTGTTTGTCTGTCTGTCTGTATGTATGTCTGTCTGTCTGTCTGTCTGTCTGTTTGTCTGTCTGTATGTATGTATGTGTGTATGTGTGCATGTGTGTATGTATGTATGTATGTATGTATGTATGTATGTATGTATGTATGTATGTGTGTTTGTACATTTGTATGTATATCTGGATGTATGTACGTATGGATGTTTGCGTGTATGTGTGCATGCACGCATGCATCCATGCAAGCATCTATGTATCTATGTATGTATGTATGTATGTATGCATGTATGAATGCATGTATGTATGCATGTATGTAGGTATGTAAGTATGTATGCACACAACTAGTGCTGGTTTCATGAATGCATGGTTCATGAATGTATGTACTCCCTTCGGGCACGCTGTACTGCTAAGGCTCAAACAGCACACCTGTCAGGGTTGAGTTGGCCCCCTATTACACTTCGACAAGTAGAATCATAATGTCAAACTCCTTCGCTGCACACCCTTGGAAGTTCCCAAGGCTTTGTAAACCCTCACGTGGTCACTATCTCAGAAAAGCATTCACCAGACCTCCCCAAAGCCGTGAAGCTCTGGGAGCAGGATTTCAGCTCTGAGGTAGAAGACAAGTACCAGAGGCCGGCGTTGCAGTTTTGTCACCTGGTGTAGCAGTAACAGGGAAGGCCCAAACCCGGAGGTCGAATCCTTGAAGCCTTTGCCCCTTCCCTCCGACTCTCATCGGGTCAGAAGCCTCGGTAGCCATGTCCGACAAAGATACTTCGAGGTTCATGTGTAGTTATAAGAGGGGTTATAAGTCCCTTAACAGGGTTATAATTATAGCTACCCTACTTGGAGGTTCATGGGTAGTTATAAGAGGGGTTATAAGTCCCCTAATAGGGTTATAGTTATAGCCACCCTACTTTTAACCCTACTTATAACTACCCATGAACCTCCAAGTACGGTCCAAGGCAAGGAGGAGGTAGAAGTTTGAGGACCTCTCACTTGCTATAGATCCACGGTCTCGTACGTGTCGGGGGGGTTTTAGGCCCCTTATAAAGTCCTTAAGGTGCAGTAGGACCTACCCCAGAATGCTGCTCTAAGTATTTCAAGCGCCTTAGTTATACCGTTAGCATGAGCCCCGTTTCCTATATAGCAATGGCCTCTACTGTAGCCATGCCGTGGTCAATAGAAGACGTACGTATACACAGGCCCCATCGTTAACATTTGGTTCGCCGAGACAGCTGCACTGTAAGCCTAAAGATCCTAACCTTCAGCCCCAAAACCTAAACCCACACCTGCGGGTCTAGGTTTTTGTCTGTTTTTTTATGTAGGAGGCGCAAAAACCTAAGCCCACAGGTGGTACCACGAGACCACGATCTGCAAGAAGCTCGAGTCCAGGCTAGACAAGCAGGCCCACCACCGTGGCATGGAAGCCCGAATGATTGGTACTAATATTTCTTCATTGGCTTCCCATTGTAATAGCATTACATATATAAACCGAAACTAGCTTAATGATGATTATCAGCCCTGGACCTTAGGCCACGAAGCTGTTAGGATTCAGTACAGATTTCTAAGCTGTTAACCCCCTACACAATTCCTGAAGACGGGGTGGCAAAAAACAGTCTGAAAGGGGTGCGGCTTTTCTGGTGCTTTGAAGAGCTTCATATACTTTAGATTGTAGTAGCATCCCTAGTATGATTTAAGGTATATTCCTCAATTAAGGGGTTTTGGAGTCTCTGGGCTTTGGGGCGTAATCACGTTGCAGGATTCGGCTTCGTGGGACCTGGTTATTTTGCTCTGGTTTTCCTTGGACACCCAAGCCTGGAACGATGGCTGTTGCTCTCGAAACTTCCGGGGTCACAGCTTTCAGACATTACACAGGTGGTGTTTGTAGTGGGGCCTCAGCTGTTGAAGTGTTTTCTATTCGGATTCTGGTCAATGCTTCGCAGCAGTGTTCTGCCAACTTCGCTGCTGCCGGAAAGTCTATACCGAACCGGCGCCTGGCAAACCAAGGAAACTTGTTTTCAAGAGCAAGGAAGCAACGCGCGGCAGCATTTCCAGCAGAATTAAGCAACGGCCGTGGCTCTCAGCGGTAGCGCTGACAGCGACGGCGGCACTGACGGCGGCACTGCCAGCAGCGGCAGCACTTGCGTGCACCTCGATCAGTCAGTGCACGACTCGTTGGCCTAACTTCCGTGCATGAAAATGAAACGTATCGCAATCACCGATAGCCGTGCTGGACCTGATGGGCCGTCTAAAACAGTCCATTGATAGCAGCTGATGGGGATAATGTGCGAACTCATGCAAATGCAGTGCAGCGACCGCAGATTCTGGCAATGTCTACCTCGGCAGAAGCGAGGATTCGGATGAATCTTGCTCACAGGTTCTAAAGCCTGCCGCAGCAGTCAGAGAAGCCCTGCCTGAATCATAGACCCTTGGCCAGAAACCTTTGCAGCCTCGGAACTTTCAGAAGCCAAGCCTTTCGATTTATGATAGGGGGCGGCACGACACAGAATAGCATTTAGAATAGTATTGAGTTTGCGCATAACCCTGAGCAAACAAATCAAACATCAATTTCAGGTCTGATGCTTGCCATGTAGCTTCCACGCTGGTTTCAGGACGTGTATACGGCTTACTTCGGCCAGTGTGCTGCGCAAAACCTGGTGTCACTTCGACAAATGTCGCCACAAGATGAAACGGGTGTGTGAAGGGATTCAGAAGAGGAAGCAGGGTCTTCAATGGAGTTCCGAAGCAGCCTGTGAGCGCTGCAGCAAGGATCTATAGAGCATCGACAAGTCTCAAGCGGGATAGCACACGCAAAATCGAATGTGCTGGATTACAAAAATCAGACAAAGGCCCAGCGTGGAAGGCATTTCGTGCGATAAGGGCCTCTGAATATCTGGAGATCTTGTCCAGTCTAGGTATACTCATTATACCCCAATTGTTGTGTTATTCTGTTCTAGATGCCAGCTGGGAAGGCCTCCATGTGAGTTTGTTTGGATCGCTGCAGGCGCTGGCTCTTACGATCCTGACTGCAGTGAGAGCACTCAGACATACTTCGGCCGCTTTTTTCAGTGGCTGTCAGGGTATCCGCAGTTCGGAGTTGTGGGGACGACGGGGTTCGACATGTCGGAGCCGATCCTCAGACTCCATACAAGTGGCACCATACAAGTGGCACTGCGATCCCAAAAGCCCTAAATCCAACTATATCCCATAAATAAATAAATAAATAAAAAGAGAGAGAGAGAGAGAGAGATATATATATATATATATCTATGTATATAAACCGAGGTCTAAAGCCCCTAAACCCAAAAGCAGAGTTCGCTGTGGGGGTTTGCCTCCCATCGACAAGTTTGGCTTGTGTGGGGGCCGTGGCTTCCTGCATGTTCCCGCACTGCTTTCGAATCGACAAACAACTCCTACGCTGGACTGAACGCAGGCTGTCTACTTCGCTTTGGTCCAAGAGTATGAGCGCGGAATCGGTGAAGCGTGAACCAAGGTGGAGGTGTTCTGTTGCACCTTCGTGGACCAACTGTACAGCAAGGGGTGGGAAACTTACAGCTGATTTCTTGGCTACACACATGAGATACGACACCAACAGTGGTGCATTCTAGTTGCTATTGTGGTTGTAAGATTGGTTTTAAATATAGCAGTATTGTATTCTGATGATCTGTATTCTATTCCATTGATATGTGTAGCCATTTCCGGCGCATGCATAGTCCGTGATCGGCTGCAGTACGGTCTCGACTCGTCGCCATTGATGGAGCGGTTGGTTTCTTGCCTCCTGTCAAGAAGAATACCTATAGTATCCATTGTAGTTCCTTGTTTTGGTTTAACCAATTATATATTAAGGATTTTATAAGGTATCCCCAAAAAGGAACTACAATGGAGACTATAGGTAATGAATGAAAGGAAGCTTGCACCCAAGCCCATCTGTCGTTTGCATGTCATGCTGAGGTTGGGAAACTTCGATTGGCGAGGCACCGGCCATTTGGTTGTGTTGGAGACGGAAGACAGTTGTGCAAGGTAGAGGGAGGATGCATGTTGATGCATGCGTAGCTAGGGCCACGACACCGGCACATACGTTTGGAATTCGACATGAAATTCCAGCATTAACACACGAGGAAGTGCCAGCAGCGTGGAAGGAAAAGAAACAACAGATCGACATACTCACTGTGTGGAAGTGTAGGCATCATCTATTTGCCGAAAGCTTGCTCGTCGTTTTGGTAAGATGGCTTGCATACAGGCATGGTGCAGGTGTTATGCGTCTGATGTCATGCATCCTGCAACAGATGCAGGTCCCGACCTCACAAGCATTGCTCGCAGGTGACCTGCGTCATCCTGCATCGCTTCGGCACATCTGTAGCAGTACATGTGCATGCCATGTTTGTTGTTTGTCGCTCTTCTCCTTCCCTGCTGAAGCTTGTCTACAGGTCATGACGGACTCGGATGTGCCCGGCTCTCAAAACAACTGTGCAACGTTTTCGGGAGCACTGTTGCCTCTTCAGGGCTTGCAGAGGGAGTCAGCTGTTTTGTCTCATTGTTTGTGAATATGCAACGTCAGTGAAATGATGTTCGTTGTCCATGTCGCCACTGCAAGTTCGGAACGGGATCATACAGAAACTGACCCAAAAGCTCAAGAGCTAAATGAGATTTAGCAACATTTCACGGTAAACCACCCAATATCCTAAGCCCGGAAGTGCAACATATATAGCCAACAGATGCACTTAGGTCCGGCTGCCTCTTTTCCTGGCATGCAGAGGCGCCACGTGCTTTACACAAACCATGGTCATGAATGAGCATTTCGAAGTTATGCCGATAGCCCGAGAAGATATGAGCCAAACATGACTTGACAGGCATGGCTTTTCTCATCATTTGGTGCTGGCAGCAGCTTTGCCGTGCCAGCGGCCTCGGTTCGGGGTTGAGGGAGGAGCTCGTCTTATAGTGTGACTACGACCATGCATGATTTCAACGGAGGCTTCGACAAGGGCACTTTTGAGCAAGAACAGCCGTAAGTAAGAGTGCTGCGGGTTAAGCCGCGCAGCTAGATGTGGGAAGAGCGATCATTAACTGGAGTAGCCCGAGGCAGTACATCCCTAGCTGCCTACCTACTTATCCACCTGCCGGCAGAGCTCCCAGAAGATCCCAGGAGCCGAACCCACATGCAGCAGCTAATGAACTTCAAGCAGAAGCCCGGTTTGTTTGTCTGGAGGCACAGCATCGTATCCTACGGCATCCGCATGAGGCCTGGATCTTTCACGGGCGTCGAATCGGATTTGGTGAAACACATCTTGAACTACAGGGCTTAGGGTTTAGGGTTTAGGGTTTAGGGTTACTATACCTAAATGTTCACCCGACTTGGTGAATGATGCCTGGTTGAACGCCTGGTTGTTCAACAGGGATGGGCACATAGCCAAGTGGTTTCCATTCGGGTCGGAGCGATTCTACCTGGTCGAGCGTGCACTGATAAAGCTCATGTTCGGCCGCTGCTTTTTCTACGCTACGCTTCGGATGGCTAGGGCAACGCGATCTGTTGTAGACGTAGCTGCCGTAGTTTGGACCTGAAAGCTTGGCGCACAAGCATTACTAAGAGAGGACGAGGAGCTCCTAACGAGTTTGGCAGACTTGAACCGACTTTGGTTTCAATGAAGTGTCTGAATTATGGGAGTTCGCGCCCAGGATAGATGTGATCGTTGCAACGTCGAGGCTTTGCACCCCCAAAGACTTGTCCCACTGTGAAGTTTGTCAAGCAGGTTGTGTAGACCCAGTGTGCATGCACAGCCTAGCATGTCTGTGCAGAGCCAAGCGGACGAATCGATATCTGGCCTTGCCTGTCTTCACGTGAGATTTCCGGAAAACAAGGAGTGCCTTACCTTATAATCAGGATCCTACTATTTAGGGTGCTCTATGAGGGTCCCCTATTTTCGGAAACCCCCATGTTTGTCTGCGAGAAGTAAGAGCTCGAGCAACCAAGCGCAGCATGTATGACTCACGGCATACACCACGACCTCAACTCAACTTTCTCCCGACGCGATGATGCAGTTTGCGTTCGATCGAAGTTCAAGTTTCCATGTTGACAGCACTGCGCCTGAAGTCTTGAAGAGCCCATGGAGCGGCACGGCGAACTTTTGCTGGGAGGAGCTCCCATCAAGCACTTGGCCTGCGATTCGACTTCAGGGGTTCTTGGAGCAACCCTGTGGGATTCAGGCAGGTTGAGCAGGCCGCCGGGAGCTGCATATTGCTTCATGGGTGGGGACTGCGAGCCATCATGAAGCCGATCCCCCGGCTCAAACCGTCCCTTTGAAAAGGTTGCACTTTGCACAGGGCGCACGCCGAAGCACACTGTCTCTCTCTCTCTCTCTCTGTATCTACCCGGTCCAGAAAGATGGCAGACAGAACGTTAGCAGTACCATACTGCCCTCCCCTACACCAGCATCTGCTGCGGGACAGCAGGGGCTTTAATTTTCGCTGGCAAGGGTGCGAAATTTTGGGGAGCATCGCCTCTGTCGCCGCTGACAGCCGTCGCAACACTATTAATTACCAAGGGAGTTAATGGTGTCACCACTGATATTTTTGGTGGTCAGGCCGTCATACTGCTTGTCATAGAGTCATGCACTGACACGCAACCATGAATGCAGGTGCAAAATGTAAGCGAGAACGATCACCAGCACCACGACGATTCGTGCCAGTGACTGTGTCATCGTCCCCCTCGTCTGTAAGGAGGTGGTGGCGATGGTGCTGGTGGTTGTGGTTGTGGTGATGGGCGTGGCGGTGGTAGCAGTAGCGGAAGCAGTAGCAGTGGCAGTGGCAGTAGGCGTCGTAGTCCTCATCCTTGCGTGTCCTGGTGGAGTTCTGTCTCTCACTTAAGCCCAAGACTGGGGCAGGCCTTGAGAAGGTGGCATCCTCGCATCGTTGCACTTTTCGCTGGCCAGCTTGATGGTTGTGTCCAGTACACTCCACGGCATCGGTCAAGAGCCCTGCCAGCCGAGCTCACTTTCCCGAAAAGAGCCCGCAAAATAGAGTAGCCCTATCCTAGTAACCCTATCGTAGTGACCCTTGCCCCTGAGTGCCTTCCGAGGCTCGGCCAGGGCCCCGAGAGTTTGCAGATCGGCTGTGAGGCTTCGGGTTTTTTCTCGGTTTAGGGTTTAGGGATTCGGGTTAAGCCTGTTGCAAAAGGGATATGGTTTTAGGGTTCGGCTGTGAGGCTTCTGGTTTTTTTCTCGGTTTAGGGTTTAGGGTTACGTAGGGGCCACGAGTGGTGTCTGCTGCGGGGAATTTGGCCGGGCGAGCTCTCTAATCAAGCTCGTGTTAAAACGGGTTTAGGCCCCTAAGCCCTAGACCCAGTTAATGTTAGGGGCCTTGATAATTACCTAAACTATTTCGGGGGTTCCTTGTTATAAATGAAGTATAAGGGGCCCCAAAACCGTGTTCCAAAAATGAAGACCCCTAAACCCTAAACCCTCATAGTAGCCGTTATACAACCCTTTAAGGAAGCCTTTAAAGGAACCCCGAAACCCTATTTTAATTATGAAGGCCCCTACACCTTAAACCCTTATAGTCGCCCTTATAGAGCCCCTTTAAAGGAACCCTATATAGAAACCCTACTCTAATTATGAAGGCCCCTACATTTTTAGCATTCGGCGACATGTTGCACACTTCATCTCTGCGGTCTTTCAGGGAGCCTTGTCTCGGATCAAGCCTGCTATCTGAGTGCTGCTGTGGCTAGTGTTCTGTTTAGGGTTTTAAGGTTTAGAGTTTTAGGGCTTATGCAAAAGGGTTTCTGATGACTATGAGAGTTGTTGATGGCGACCTTGGCTACTGTGCTTATTGCCATATTGGTGGTGGCTTATGGTGCGTCCGAGACACGTAGCGGGTTTCAGGTAATAGGATCAGGCATGCTCTACTTAAGTGTTCACATGGTCGTCAGAATCAAACACTCCATGAAAGGGCCCACTGAGATCTACGTGCACTTTCCTTTCCAACTCTTCTCTATATATGATTCCAAGAACTTTTCAGGAGTTTGGGATCCACACAGCCGCAGATGCCGCAGTTGTATGTGGGTTGCCTCGACCCCATTAGCCTCACTGTCGCTTCTGGTTGATTTCCCAACGATTTGGGTTTTAGGATTGTGTCTATCTCGACAAGACATGGGAGTTTCCGAAAATCAGGGGTCCTTATAATAAGGATCCTACTATTTAGGGTGCTATATTAGGGTCCCCTATTTCCGGAAACCCCCACATGACTTAAGGCCCCTATATTACCCTATTCCATAATAAGGCCCCTATGTTACCCTATCTTATAACTATTAAGGCCCCTATATTACCCTATTCCATAATTATTAAGGCCCCTATATTACCCTATTCCATAATTATTAAGGCTGATGCAAAACGCAGGACACCACTGGATTCCAACCTTGGGCGGCCGCCTCGCGCGCTGCCGCAAAAGCCTTGCCATCGCCGGGGCCCAGGCCAGGGTACTTGCTTCTAATGTTTGTTGAATATATACATATACACACACACACACATATATATATATATATGTATGTATATGTAATATTAGTAGCATTATAATATATTATGATGATTATGATTATGGCTATTAATATTATGCTTATAGTTATGATTATTCGTAGTCATATCATAATGGTTATTTTCTGCTTCTTCTGATTACAGCTATTAGCGGTCATGGGGTTGATGCTAACGACGGTGATAGCTAGTTGTTGGTCTCGTGGGCAAGAAAGCTACCGGACGCTCCGCCGCTTCTCCGAGGTACTGGGGGGCTGTGCTTTCCGTTTATGCTAGTTTCTGGCGTGTGCGTGTACATGTATATGTGTATTTATTTTTGCCTGTATACATTGTGCACAATGATACATAGATTCACATAGATTGATCCAGTAGTTCAGATGGTGGGAGCCTCGATGAGCCTGGGATGTCACGTCCGAGGTTTAGGACAAGCCTCAGCATGAACCATGAGCTCCACCATGCGGAGAAAAGGCAAAAGAACGGTTCGAACAGACCGGAACGGAAGAAACGAAATTGCTCCTGCCCTCAGGGTTCGATGCGCGGGGAAAGTGGAACTCTTGGTTATTCTGACGCTCTCTCCGCTGCCGCCCGCTCTACCGGAAATTTCTGCCGACAGCTTTCCAACGAAACGCTTGTTGCGTAACCGAGTAGGTAATCGGCAACCTGATTTGGTATGCATAATCCCGCAGAGCTAGTCAACTGGTCTTCACTCTAGAGCTCCACTAGACCGAGAAGAAACCTGTGCGTTCTAGAAGCCCCGCCACAGAAATCACCCATGACGCCATGATGCTGACATCAACGCATCTCAGCATGGAGACTTTGCGCAGTCTCTGGCATTGTGACGGTGTCTCTGCTGGAGTGCGCCATCGCAGTCGCATCATCTACCTGGGATACACCGTGGTTTCCTTCCTTCCGAAGCTGAGACTTATGAGATATACTGTGCAGGATGAGAGTGCGTGGAAGGTGCCATCTGTGACCGCTTGTGGCGTTTGCAACATGTGCCTGATGGTAGCCGGAATCGTCGGGTGGTGCACGATGGATCAGCTCACTGAGGCCAAATTCTACATCCTCGAGGATCCAGCTGCTAGCCGATGCTTGTTCAAGTGCTTCAGCTATGCTTTTCTTGCCTTTTACCTGTATCCGGTGCTGTTTTTTGGGCATGCCCAGCTGGTTGCCGAAGCCTTCTTGGTCATCGTTGCATGCTACTACATGCTTTGGGTCCCCCTGCTGGACAGTTCCGCCGACACCCACTGCTGCGTTCATGCCTGGTGCCTGCTGGCATTTCTTCGGCTGGCTGTGCAGGGTGCCGAACTAACTGATCCGATGCAGTATTGCCTGATGCTTTACTTAGTAGAGGGCATGGTTCTGCGGTTCCTCCTCTACCGCAGCACCAGAGGCAACAAAGAGCTACAACACTTTCCGAAGCAAAGCTTCCTTGATGCTTTTGCTCGGCCACCGTCGAGCGAGCGACATACGTCACTGGAAGCCTTCGACACACTGTTTCGGTTGGTTAGAAGAGACCAGGGTGGTGGCATGCATGCTTTGTGCTTGGCCCGTGCTGTCCGGCAAAGTTGGCTGCATCACAGATCCGTGGTGCGTGGGCAGATGATGTTCACATACCACTGCATATGCCAGCAGCAGATCAGTCCAGACGTCATTTGGAGAATTCTAGAGTTCCTTGGAGATGCAGTCCATTCCCAAGAGGACTGCGAGGATGCGTCCTCTCAGAAGACGATGTCGTCGAGCAGTGCTGGCACCAGCATCGAGTTTGTAAAGCGAAGGCTGTTCAGGTTTCTGCACCAGGATTAAGAGTGTGAGGTGCTTTTGCATGCCGACCTAGCATATTGAATTCGGGAGATGCATTTTCGTTTTGTGCTTCGCAGTAGCTGGCAGACAAGTACAGTAGCAAGAATCTCGAGCTAGCTGCCAGCAGAATAGACACGATATCGATGAGAGGCAGGCGCTGTGTTTACATAGCGGGTGTTCATGCGCAGCTTAGTGGTCACAGCTGCCGTTCGAAATCCAGCGGAATTGACCTGCCGCTCTACTTGCGGAGCATTGGCACCCATGATGCCATGCCACGGCAAGAATGAAGGGAACGGCGGTTGAGCAATCCCTTAGGGTTGAAGTTGGTTTCATTTTGGAGGACCACCCTCTGTACAGTCAACTTTTCCGGAGATTGAAAAGAATAAAAGTTCTTTTCGGGGTTCCTCTTCGACTGGACGTTTGAAGTTTGGGACCCCACCACACAGGGTGTTCTTGCAGTGTTTTGACATTCCCGGCTGAACCGTTGCAACGGCATGTCCAATGCCGCACCTTTTCGGGTCAACAAGAACCATAATGTGCAGAGACTGCACGAGGCCGTTTTCTCGACCAAAAGTTATGTGTGCGCACCCTTGGCTCGCACTGTCGTTGGACGTCTCATACAGACCTCGCACTGCTAACTTAAGAATGCTCGTCCAGAATATGGAACTCCCCCTCCCCCACACATATTACCCTAAACCCTAAATCCTAAACCTCAACCCTAAACCCTAAACCTAAACCCTAAACCCTATTAGATCTTGCAGTGCAGGCCTTGCCTACACGTCCCCAGTCCGCAACCCCAAGGCCCGCGAAGCCCAAAGCCCGAAACCCAAACACTCGAAGTCCCAGCTCTAAGCCATCCGAATATGGGGGTTTAGGGTGTAGGGTTTAGGTTTAGGGTTTAGGGTGTAGGGTTCAGGGTGTATAGGGTATATGGGAGTTTCCGACAATTAGGGGTACCTTATTTTGGGGTCCTTATAGTAAGGATCCTATTATTTAGGGTGCTATATTAGGGTCCCCTCTTTTTGGAAACCCCCATATGGGGGCCTTCGACATTACCTATCTTATGTTGGGGGCTCCTCGCCATATATAAGTCTAGTATAGTATACCCCCAAAACCCATTTAAGGCTCCTGAATTAAACCCCCACCCCCAAATCGCCAGAGCATTTATGCTCCCGATCATGTGCCCTAAACGTTTTCCTCAGAAACGAAAGCGAGCAACCTAGGAAGAAAACAATTCAATTTCCTCTTGGGAAAATGTGTTGATGAGTGCGAGGGAATTGTACATATCGGCCCTGGGTCCTGTTGTGACACACTGGGGTTGACACTTGGATTGCTTTGGGCTAGTTGTGACTCTCTTAAGGCTGGCTTGGTGAGTTCGGTGGATTGTGTACTCCCTGATTGTTACCTTGGGGTCGTTCTCGTGAAGGGGAGTTCGCAGGTCCCCGTCCGGGACTTGCATCCTTGTGATGGTAAAAGGTTCGAAGGAGTTTCGACGTGGTCAGCTAAGCGGTGGGAAAAAGTCCAGACCCGACACCCGAAGCCTGAAATCCTGTAAGCGATACCAAACCGCAACACTAAACCTTGCATTGCGAGACTCTTCATGATGGCACGGCAGAGAGAGAGAGAGAGAGAGAGAGAGCGAAGGCGGCAAAACCCCAAAAACCCCAAACTACCCCTGAACGCTACAACCTAAGACTACCCCTGCAGGCTTCAGCTCGAATTGGGATCCGGCTTAGGCGCCTTGGGCGTCCGCGCCGCCGCCGGGGGCCTCGTGTTGCTGTCGGACAAGGAGCCGAAGGGTTCAATGCTCCAAAGACATAGCCACATACGGATCTCACAAAAAAACTCTTGGGAACGCCACACCCTCAGGGAGGGCGCTTGTATTTGTGTGGCCGTCTGGGGCTTTAGAAAAACGAACAGAGTTGTTGCGATGGAGATGGAGGTCGTGGGATGATGGTGTCGACGATGACTCTTTGACGGTGACGACGAAGATGGCGGCAGTGGTTGCAGAGGTGCCGTTGTCGGGAGGACGACGCTCACTTTTCATGCCTCCTGCGCGATGGGCTAAACCACGACCCGCTGCAGCGTGGCCAGAGTAAAGACATAGGCCGGTCGCGCGAGATCCTGATTCGGCATTCCGAAGCCGCTCCGTGAAGAAAAGCACATCAACCGCATGCTCATATAATCTCACGAGGTTCAGTGAAGGCCCCCAGCCAAAATTCTCGACTCTAAACCTATCTTGTCCTCTTGTACAGCGTACAGCATTCACGTTGGGGTTGAGGTTCAGGTCTTCTCGTGCTAGGTGTGTCAAAGGTGTTGAGCTTTGGTACTTAGGCTTTCAGGCCCGGCTGAATTCGGATAGATGCTGGTGTGCTGGATTGGCTCATTGCATGATATGGTGACTATTATTGTATGTCGTGGCGGTGGTGAAGTTATGTGTGCGCATCTATTCCAGGCTTTCCCGTCCGGGGCCCGGAGGCGTCTGTTTCAAAGGCGACATGTTGGTTGGGCCTTTCGCGCCCTCTCAGAAATGCCCCAGCACTGAGGAGCTGCCTGTACTGGGCCTGGCATTGCAAACTGCTGCTCTGAATGGCGCGCGCTGCGATGCAGTAGCCTATGACTTCGCCCAAGGCCACTCCCTCGCCAGAGGTTTACAGTTCTTGATGCAGGGCTTCTGTGGGCGCACACTTTGATCTCGCTGCACCTTTGAGCTTCCGTTTTGAGGGATGCGCAGTTGGTATATCTCTCCTGGGTGGAGGGGTCGAAGTTTACCCCTGCATGTTGCATACTTTAGGAATACTGTGCATGGGTCCTAACGAGTATAATGAGGAAGTTGCAATATGGAAATACACGACTCGTTTTTAAGCTTCCCTAAAACTTCATTTCTTATTTAAGTACAGTTTTTGGACTGGTTCTAGCAAGCAGCTTATTGGGTAAACTGCAACGATGAAGCTCAAGCCATATCTGTAGCAGTTGCCACTCAAAAACTGGAATGTACGGCATTATGTAATACATGTTGAGGAAAGACAACTGACACATGAACATGAGGGGAGAACAGACACCATAATAAGTTATAAAAACACACATAGCACCGAGTGCTTCTAAACAGCTTTGCAATCGTTGCTCCAGCAATATTGTCCAACAAGAACTTTAAACGTATCTGTATCAAATTTTGTCTAGTTCCCACATGGTTTACTTCTCGTGCAACATACAGAATTGGGCGAAGTATGTTTGCATTTTGAACTGAAGCTGCTCTCGAGTCTAGAGAATACAAGTTAAAGCGATAGTCGTTGTTTAACTTAGCTGCAACTGTCAGTTATCGTACCTCGATGCCATATCTTTAGATCTGTGTCATCTTTGTATACTACAGTTGAAGCTAAAAAGGCACACGACATGGGGCGAGTTTGCCGTACAATGTAAACTCTCCCGTTGCGTTATGCCTCTTCGGCGACATCGCCCTGTATATATATATATATACATAAGTACCAGTAGATAAATACATATAGTTATATACGTACATGTGTGTCTATACATGTGTATGTATATGTGCATGTGTATGTATGTATGTGTAAACATGTCAGTATGTGTGTATGTACATTATATTTGGCTACCCCACATTATATAAAATCATGTCATGTTACGGTATATCTTATTTTTTTCTTCTATGATTGTGTTATATTATATTCTTTTATATTATAGTAAATACTACAGTACTATACCATATTATATTAGTGTATCGTATAAGTTATATCATAAATATTTTATATGATATTATAGTAAATTCTATTATATATTATATCATTTTTACATTATATTATATCATACTGTATTATGTTATATTGGGTTATATTATATCATGTACTATTATATCATATTGTTTCATGTTATCATAATATATGTGTTTTGATTATGTCGTATTTTATTTTCTCTTTCCATTATTATATATATATTTATATGTTATGATATCATATTGTGAAATAGAATTTTATTGTATTTTATTTTTAGCATGTTGAATTATAGTAGTTGTTCTTTGTTATGCCATGTTATCTTATGTCATAATATATTATGTTATATGGATTTACTTGTTATTATATTGTATTACATTAAATGTCGTTATTTCATATGGCATGAGATTATATTGCGTTATCTTCTGTTCTACTATATCATCTTATACTAAGTCATCTGATCATATAGTTTGTTAGTTTATCTTATATCACGTCATCTTATTCATATTATGCTATCTTATAATATATTACGTTTTTCGTATAATGTTTTATCAGCTTTTATTTCAGTATTTCAATTTAATTTGTATGTTGTTATGTTATGTTATGTTTTGTTTT